AAGTATACACTTTGACTGATAAAGGTGGCTGTCTGGCTATCACATCTATGCCAAAGATCACTTAAATAGGCGAATTTCACACCCCTCCTCATGTATTCGAGCTGGGATTTCTTCATCAATCATCAGTCCATCAGGCCTAAACAACTAATCTCTATCCATTTACTACAATAAATATTATTGGTATATATATATATATATATACTTTTAGAATCGAATGGGTAGGTAGGCATAGAAGTAAACGGTAGTGACGTAGTATTTAAAGAGGCGTATAGGCAAGCAGAAAGTCTGACGAAATAAGAGTTTTAAAACTAAAATCATCACAATAATAATAATACTAAGTTGGTGTTTGCAAGATGCTGTCAAACTGTTCTTCACTCTGTTTGTATCGAAGCCTAACTCTACATATACGACGTCAAACACGCACACGCATACACACCTCATTTTTGTCTGTTTTTCAGTTTAAGACAGTTTTTCTCCAAAACGTCAAGCTGCAACACATGTGTGTGTGTGTGCGTGGGTGCGTGGGTGCGTGTAGTGACGGTCATTCAAACACATAGGAGTGAAAAGAAGGAGAACAGAAGGTGAAATGTCACAAGCCCACATGATATATAATTTTATCGGACAAAGTTAGTCTATTCTTTTATTCAATTCTAAGAAAGCGAAAGATTTTCCATAATATATAAAGTCAAAATTCAAGTTGTGTATACTGCATAAGTGTAAGTGATTTAACAAGACTGTGAGTGATATGCAGGTTAGGCACAAAGTACTAACTAAAATAAAGAGGAAATGTCAATCAATGAGGTTGTAAAGCTACATCGATTGAAAAGAGGTGATACAAAGAAAGGCCCTCAACTGACACCTACCTAGAAGCTAATAGAAGATAGAAGGATGGTGGAATAGGTGATGAACCAAGGCAGAGATGGACAACAGCAGGAGAAGCTGAGTCTAATGAACATCTCACTATAAAAAGAAAGTGAAGAAGAGTGCTAGGAAAGAAAAAAGACAATCCTACGACACACTGGCCACAGGTAAAAGAGACTCCAAAACATTATATCAGATAGGCACCAAGTCTGTACCCAGGAAAAGATCAATGCAGGCGAAAACGACAGAAGTTGCTCAAGGGAACCTAATTACCAAGCAGGAGAAACAAATAAAACAATGCATTGGTAACTTCAAGGGACTCTTGAATCGACCTGTGACTGATCCAGAAACCCCAACAACAACCACAGAACTACCAACAAACACCAATCCGACAAAAGGAGAAATCTTGAGTGCGGTAAGGCAGCAGAACCAGACGGAATTCCCCCACCCCAAAGCACTGAAAATGGACCCAGAGACTGCGGCAGATGTTCTCACGCCATTATTGCAAAAGGTTTGAAAAGAAGGGAAGGTGTCTATCGATTGCAAGAAAGGCTACCTTGTCAAGCTACCAGAGAAGGGTGACCTACGCCTCACTCTGCAAGAACTGGCGTGGAATCATGCTGTTGTCCACACCAAGTAAAATACTAAGTCGCACCATCCTGGAGACAATAAAAGATGCACTAGATGCAGAACTAAGCCAGAACGGAACAAGCTGGATTCAGGAAAAGCAAATCATGTGCTGATCAAATTACAACTTGACGCATCGTCATCGCAGAACAAAGCATAGAATGTGACAATCAAACCTCTCCCTACCTCTACTTCATCGACTTCGAAAAGGCCTTCGACAGACAGTGTTGACCGAGAAGTAATTTGTAAACTGCTTCAACACTATAGCGTGCAGTGCACAAGTCTTCATCAACCTCATCCAACAGCTATATGACAGTGGCACGTGTCAGGTGATCCACAACGGAAAACTCAGCGAGGCGTTCCAAGTGAATACAAGAGTAAGATAAATCTAGCTACCTATTATCACCGATGATATTCTTAATTGTGGTGGACTGGATTCTGCGTTAGACTGTGTACACGGAGAGAGAAGGCGGGAATACGCTGGACCACCGATAAGAAGACTCTAGAAGATCTGGATTTCACGAAAGACTTAGGTTTAATGTCACACAAGCTCAAAGACTTCTAGGTGAAAATCAACAAACTGGCAGAACAAGCAGCCGCAGAAGACAGGACTGCAGGTGAAAATAGAGAAGACGGAGGTGTTGAAAATTGGGTTTTCAATACCAATTTTAAACCATTCAATTCTTCTATTTAGGTGATAAACTTGGCATGTGCATACCGGAATGCAGTTGGAAAAACCAGCCACAGAATTTTATCAACAGCTGTCGGGTGCTATAGCTCGAGTGGAACTCGATTAGGAGACGAGGAATGTGACATGAGTTGGAGGGTTACATGGTGGAGATCGGGCGAGGAGGACATGAAAGCTTATGGTCAACGGTGCAGTTGGCTGAAGAGGACTGGGGAGGGCAGGACAAGATGGAGATGCGCTGTTGATGGCCTTTGTTCCATCTAGAACCCAAGTGAACAATAGTAATAATAATATGAGTAGAAGTTGTCCTCTCATCCACACAGTAGGTTGTATCACATCTGGCATACTTGTCACTAATTTAAGTCATTTGTATCATGGTGAGATGGATGATTGTTTATAACAGTCAAATGTGATGTACAATGGTGGGACATTGATATGAGGAATAAAGGATTTGACGAGGCTTTAAGTCCGAAACTATTACTATCTTTGTAGGACTACCTGACAATAGAAAGCTATTCAGAGGTTAACTGTTGAGTACAATATCAACCAGCAAAGTATGTTGGTTGATGTATCTTTTCATACATTTATTCCTATGGTTCTCTGGTGTTTGTCTTGCCTGTGAACCTCTTAGTCTACACATTGTTATTGAACCTAGAACTTCAGATATCATATCATATCATATCATATCATAATCCCTCTGTGATTATCACAAGAAGACTTGTCTCCCTTCTTGTATATCTATCGGGATAACCAATGACTTACACCAATCAGACGGGACTAGCTCCGATTCTCAGACACTTCCTAATACACACCCACAAGAATAAAATAAATAAGAAGTTTACAAAGACAGCATAATTCTGGTCTGAGTAACTTCGATGTTGAAAACAGAAAGAGGAATAGATTTATTTAGCTTTGAGATGTTGATTACAATGGTGAGGAGTCTTTACCACGCGATCTAAACTCCCTTTCAAGAGTTAATTTGTCAGGATTTGAGTTGTTTTTCAGTTATATCAGTGAGACAACATGGGGTAGCTGGACAGTTGTTTCCTCAGCCTATTTTAGGACTCATCGGGAGTATCCACCTACTGGGGTTCGAAACCACGACCTTCAGGCTGCAAGTAAAGCTCGTACACTATTCAGAAACTGGGTGGAACTCTACTCAACGCCAAGCTCATGAATTTCAACTTCTGCCAATTTGTGATTTTAGCCGCGTTGGATCCCACTGGTCACGACTTACACATATAATGCTTTTATGTGATGAATAGCAAATCAAGGCTGGTTGGCTGCAATAATCATTCTCTAAGTGGATGACTACTCATTTAGTGTTGGTTACTAACAAATACAACAACTCAAAACTATGATATTACAATTTTGTACATCATATTTTACCCTGTGGTTTGTCATGGGTATGTGATCATTTAAATATATAACAAGCTCAGGTTGGTGCCAAATTTATGATGACAGTACTTTGCACAAAATATAGTGAAGCATACTTGTTAATTAACTAACTGATTAAGTGCAATTCACACACAAACAAAAACAAATGTGAGACTACTGACCACACTGAATTGGTGTGTGTGTGTGTGTGTGTTTGTGTATGAATTCAATAACAAACAGACTTTCTGTTAAGCACGAATCATCACCAACGAGAGAAACCTAAAGGCAACCTTGACAGGCAGCATCGTTCCAACTACAAGCACGCGATGCCGATGAAGATGTCAAAGCCAGTCCCAGTTAAATTCAGAAATGTACAAAATAGACCTTCATTACTCTAAAATATCTATGTGGAAATCGACTGCCTTCAATTCAGCATAAGCAAAACGAGAACCTAGTCTTCAACCCTGATATCAAGTTAGTCAGTGCTGCTATACTGGTTCAAAGGTTTGGCTGGCGTGTCACGAAATAACCCTTCACATTAAGCTGTTTTTCTCTACATCATCCGTCTAAACAAATTTTGTTTGGTTGGGGGATTTCATCGTGAGCTGATATCAGTTAGAGAACCATTGGAAAGCCAACTGGGAGTACTGGACAGTCAGTCATTTCGTCTTAACTCCGGACTCTTCAGCAGTACGCCTCCACAGATAGGCTTCGAACCCAGGACCCTCTGGTTACAAGGTGAGCTAGCTCGTTAATCATTAAGTGGCCACTGAGACCCAATCCAATGGCCAACCCATGAATCCTAACTTCTGCCAATTCATGACATATCTTGACCAGTTCGCAATGTCTTCTTCAAAGAGTTACTACCTCACCTTCAACCTGTTGCACCCTACTGGTCACGGCTTCCACTAGAACTCCAGATTAACTGACTGAATAGGGCCAGTCGCTAGTGAGCATCAGATCACTTTCCAAGTATTCGGTTTTTAGGGATCTTTTGTTTGATTTGTTGGAGGATTTCATCATGAGCTGACATCAGTCAGAGAACCATTGGAAAGCCAGCTGGGAGTACTTGACAGTCAGCTGCTTCGTCCTAGTTTGGGACTCTTCATCAGGTTTTCTAATGGTTCTCTAACTGATGTCAGCTCATAATGGAATCCTCCAACCAATCAAACAAAATCCCTACAAAAACCAATACTTGTAAACCAATTTTAGCTAGGGAACACAGTGTAGGCAATTTTGCATACTTCAGTCTATGTGTAGGTACTGGTGTTGTGTATAGTACGACAACTGTTAAATATATATATACATAATAGTCATATGATTGGTATCTGTCTGCGCGTGTGACAAAGATGACTTTTAAGTTAGAAAATGTTTTATTTACTCAGTGTAATTACACATGTATATGCGCATGCAGGTATGTTAAAAAAAAAGTATTCTGTTCACTTACCTTACTCACAGCAAATAAACAGTCCAACAGTGTTAAATGGTAGGTGGATGCGCCAAATGAAGCGTCACTAAAAAAGAGAATGTGAATACAGTTCATGTGTTTGTTAGTTTTCTTTTTCTTTTCTTTTTTTCAAACATTAACAATCGGAAAATAGGCAAGAAATATAAAACATATGACAAAATGGAATTTTAGAAGAAGAAAAAAACGACAACCGCAAACCACTACAATAACAAAAAAAAACAAACAAATAAAACAAAACAGAAAGAGACGACGTTCAATGTTCACGCGTCACATACGATTCTTTGCCTTTTCTTTTTACAACATTCCATTATATAAAAAGCAAAAATTATCTACGTCAACTTCAAGTTGAAAAATTCCCTATACAGTTTCGTCTAGTTATAACTCTATCTCGCTCCATGCACACATACACGTTTCACTCACATTGAGACGGTAAAATACACACAAGACAACTAAACCAACTGTAGGATGATTAAGAAGCGGCATGACAACAGCAATTAACACGAGAAGGATTTATTATGCAAGCGGTCTGCGGTTCAATCCCCGGCTGATACACTCGTAGACCACGAATAGCCGGTAGTCAGTTCGGTAAAGAAGGAAGGTTGAGCTAGGTGAGCTAGGCGAGCAGCCCCACCCCCCGTAAAAACAGAATAACACCACTGCCAGTGAAACTTCAAAGCTCTAGCTTGAAGCTGTATGCCCCACTCGGAATGTAAAAGGAATGAAATAAGACAATAAATACTTCAGTCAAGAGAAGACTTCTTAAATAAGCAGACTTTTAATTTCCAAGAGTTTCATCACGGATTAATAAGACTTAGAGGGCCAGGTGACCACGGGACAAATCGCGAATTGACAGCATTCCGACCCGAGTAATCCAAAGGTGTTGGGTTCTATCGCTACATGCGTGAGTACTGCGCTGAAGAGTCCCAAACTTTAAATGGAACAGTTACCTATCCAATACTCTCAGTTTTTTTCCATACTTGTCTAACTGACATTAATCCGTGATCAAACAATTACGACTGCTAGTTCACTAAAATAAAATAACACTAAGTATCTAAAATTTGTCTGCTTCTAAAATAATATGAATTATTCCACAAAACACCTGTTGTCTGAGTTAGGCACAAACCTACACATGATAAGTAGTGGAATAATAGGAAAAAGAAAACGTCGGGACGCAGCCAATATCACGTGGGCAGTCCGCCATGTTGGTGATTACAAGTTTACAATATGGTTGTCACCCACTAAGCTGTATGACTTATCATTGTAATGCACTCTGGATCAATGTGAAACAATCAGAGGTAGTCAGTCAGCAGGATGCCTCTTCCACCTGGGTTTTGTGTTTGTTGGCGTTAGCACTACCAGACTATTCTGGCTTACTACTGTTTCCCTGTAGGACTATTTTAGGGACATTGATACACTGGCTATATAACATATACATATATATATATATATATATATATATATATATATATATATATATACTGTAAGCACTTGAAGTGAATTAATGATCAATATAAATTTAGTAATTTCACTCTACTACCTATAACCAGTTTCTACTACTAATCTAGTTTTACAATGGCTAAAGTCACAATCATTCCATTGTTGTATAGCTGTCTGCATCACGTTCAGCTTTAATAGTTTTCAAAAACATTTGGATGCCGAATATACGATGTTCACACTAGGAAACACTTCTAATAGCGCTGAGTTAATAATCATTCTGTATTTGTAGGAGGCTAGTATACTATTGGGCTACTACTGCTGGGATGTAGTAATGCAGTATATTGTATATAAAGTCAAATCTTCCGATGCATTGGCTGCTGACTTCAGCTGGTGTGTCCCCAGTGTGCTGCACTCTCCCCCCCCCCTCACTTTTCCCTTCTTCTTACATATGACTTGCCTCCTTAGGAAGAGATCAACTCCGTTAAATATACTGATTACTTTATGACTGTGTCATTGCCAGTTACGTCCCCATCTGACTGTTCCAAACTTAGTGGCCTTTTGTCAGACATAAACCAGCAGTCTAAGCTAAATTGTTCTACGTTGAATCCCTCCACAGGTCAGACGGTTAACTTCACCTTCAAACACATGTGTGATCTATACCAACGGGTTCGTCCACACAATGCTCATTCCATCGAGGGCACTGAAATACAAACTAAGTTAAGCATGGAATACCTTAGAAAAGTTTTCCCTTCTGACCTTCCTCGATCGTACCATGTCTTGTGGATCCCTAAAAGATGTCTCGTATGGAGTGAGGACAATCTGGAATCACTGGACTTCTACTTGTAGAATTTGTTAACTCCTGCATCCTACCTATTGTCCCTTGTTGCTCCCGCTTTGTCTTCCCTGGGCTAAGTCATATTGAGGCAAAGGATATTAAAGCTCGTCGGTATGGCAAGTAGTGTACAGCTAGTTAACACTGTAGTCGACAGACACTTGAACTCGAGAGAGGAATGGTCAAAATGCATATTGTTTGACCCTCACTCACTACCACCTATATTCTCTACTCTCCCCGCCTCGCATCTAATCACGTCCCACTAGAAGTCATTATAAAAGATGATATACTCGTAAACGAAGTACAAGAACTCAACCAAAGTCTATGTAGCCCTCCCGTGTTCTATGTGACAGAGGAAGTGTTAGGCGCGAGACTTTCAGGTTACTATGTAATTAGCAATAATCAATGACTCTTCGATTTCCTCCCACTTGTAATTATCCCAGCACTCTAGTCATCGGCACTCTTATTATGATTTCAAACTTTTCATACATTTTCGACTTTATTATTACGACTACTCATACCTGAATCGGCTGTGAACTAAGTCCAAATGGGTTGACACAGCTGATAGGCTTGGCTTAAGAAAAGCGAAAGAGCCATACGGTGTTTAGACCACTTCTCTGTGATCCGGCTGCCTGCCTAGCAAGCAATACTGGTTGATATACCAGTGGTTTCCAACTACTCAAACCAGTCAATCAGTAGAGTATATGGCGCCACGCGTTTATGCTCACTTTCTACATCACCATTTATGGTATCAAGCAGATGACATATTTTGTCATCTGAATAATTTCGACTTCACAAAGTGACCTGTGATGCGATTTTCCCCTCTCGAACTGTGTAAATCTCAAACAGCAGATTAATCAGCTCTGTGTATTCATGTCTAGAAGGATTAGGCTAGTTATCTTAAAGATCAAATTTAGGAACAGTAAATCGTTTGACATATCGAGGGGTCCACAACGTAAAAAACTCAATGGAGCCTTAGAAGTGATGACAGGAGTAAGACAAAGAAGCTGTGGTGGACTGGATTATGCGATAGATTGTGCACAAGGCACAAGGCGAGAAGGCAAGAATTTGTAAGGCCTACCAGAAAACTCTAGAAGATCTGAACTTTGCGGATGATTTATGTCTAATATCACACAAATTCGAAGACCTGGAGGTGAAAACCAACAGGTTTGCAGAAGAGGCTGGCAGCCAGTGAAGACAGTTCTTCAAGTGAACAGAGGTGACGACAGAACCAATCACTATCAGTAGGTGAAATTCAGAAGAGGTCACTTCCTTCATATATCTAGCAAGTATCATTTCGACTGCAGGCAGTCGCCATGGAACAGAATGTCGAAACAGGCGAGTTTGGAAAGGCAAGGCCAAGCTTCACTCTTTCGGCTGAACCCGGCCCATAGAAAACGATTTGGATTTCCAACACTAATGTTAAGTCAATCAATTCTTCTACACGGGTCAAAAACTCGGTGTATGCATCACAGCAGCCAGCTGCTGACTGACTGGCTTCATAATGAAAATCAGATGGCCGGTGAAAAGAATTGGCAACAAGAAACTCTGGAAAGCATCGACACAATCAACAGCCTATCGATCAACAAATAAATATAAGGAAGGAAATGACGATGGCTAGGACACAAGCTGGGGAGACCGTCAAGTAACATGGCGCACCAGGACATCACTCGAATGGAACCAGAATGCGAAACGACGCATTGGGTGTGGGTCTGAGAGTAATATACTGGAAAACATGTGAGGAAGAGATGAAATCTTATTGGTAGTCGTGAGTTCAGTTGAAAGGGAGTGCGGATAACAGGACAAAACGGAGAAATGCTGTTGAAGCCCTGTGTTACACTCGGAACTCAAGGGAATAGCATTGATAACTTGTTTTACAAAACAAAATTTCCCAGAAATAAGTGGAACAGGCGGAAGATAGATGACAGTATGACAGCAACATAACAAGAAGTCGGCTACTGGAAAGCAGTAATATACAGTGATAATAATAATAATAATAATAATAATCGGTAATAATAAGCATTTGTTAATCCTCATAACTCACACTTTCACTCATTCGGTTTACATAACTATATTAAGTAGTTTGATCGGCAAGCGTAAGAGTTATGATTCAGTCATGTGGTTTATATTATTATTTTCGACAGATGTTGCATTTTTAATATAAGATCAACCAACACATAAATGCATAGAGATGACAATCATAGATTTCATAAAGGTATAAGATATTCTTATGCGAACAAAATTACATATATGCGTCAAACGTATATATATAGTTTGCTAAGTATATTTAGTATGACGACCTTAAACAGCTATCTATTTTAACTGCACAAACTACACTTAATGACGAACATTGAATGAATACATAAATAATAGTGAATTCTTTCGAGTTGTGGAAAATTACGCATCACGACATTAGAGAGAGAGAGAGATTTCATTCTCAAAAATGGCAGTACAATCGTATTTATGTACATTAATTGACACAGATACAAGCAGTCTTTCTTATTTAATTCCACATAATATCGAAGGTGATTACCGGTGATAATAATTTGTTCACAACTGGATGTAGAAGTTTGAAAGTGTGAATATAGAATATACATATTTAAAAAAATTACACGGGTTTAGAAAATAACTTTCCCAACGAAATATCCTAGCTGAAAATGGATACCTGGCAAGTTTCGTCGAGAAGAACATGAAATCAAAGCCAGAAAGAGAGGAATTCATTTCAGTACCAAAGGAAAAACCATATTTGAATATGGATTTCGGGGGAGACTCGGCTG